CTAGACTGCAGTGATTGGGGCCATTGATTGTGGTGATTTGATTTATTGATCAGTCCCCCCTCTCAAATGTGGCGTCTGAGATGCGGGGCTAATCTGAGGCAGCTATGGACAATCTTGTGCCTCCACAGAGAATGGGAGGCGATAAGGAATGTATGAAAGGAAACTACACTTATCTTAATCACACACTGGTCCCTGCTCTGCCTCGCTGCAGCCCCTGTGCGCGGATGTCAGCGCACATGTGTCTCTGTGCATGCGTGCGTGCGTGTGTGTGTGTGTGTGTGTGTGTGTGTGTGTGTGCCCACCCGCTCTTTTGTGCGAGACCTTGCGTGCGAGTGTGTGTTTTTGCGTCGGTGTGCGAATGCGGTGGGGGTTGTGAGGCAGTACAGTCACCAGGCAGAACAGAGTGGATCTATAAATTGATGGAATTCAAAGCCTCCAGCATCGATTACCATTATAACAAACAGCAGCACACAGAATGTCTGATTATTTTTAGACAAAGATTCTGTGCTCTCAGCAGCAATTCTGCTGATGCTGTCACACTTTCAGACATCTGCCTATGATTGCAATTAGATGGGATACAAAAAGAAAAATAATACCCCATCTGCATTTTCCCCACTCTCCTCCTCCTCCCTATTTTTTCCTCTTTAATTTGTGCCGTCCAAGCCCAGTACACACAATAGTGATTTTGACTCAGTCTACCTCATTGCAGTACCTTGGTAGTTTTTTTTTTCCCAGTTGTCAACATTTTCCACCATGGGTTGTCTTTGTGAAAGGCTAGAAAATAGCTTACCACTACAGATGTAATCAAGATGAGCTAGGTTTAATGAATCAATGTCAAATCTGCTCCGAGACAATACATTAGTGAGCCCTGCAGTTTACTTAAAACATTCACACTTGCACAGATTGTTACAGTACATAGTTCTGCTCCCATTTTTGTCGAGGGCAATTTTCGCTTTGAAGATCTGGATTTGATTATAACAGTTTTTACCCTCTGTTTGCTAAAATAGACATAACTTGCCAACCATCATTTCGATGAAACATAGCACACTTGAGAAACAGCTTATGTTATAATCCTCAGTGCTTTGTCGTTTTTACAGATTTGTTGCCACTCCTGGCCTCCATTTATCTTGCCCAGTTTATCCCTTCACCCAATCAAGTCTGAGGGGACCACTCCCTGCACTTTTTGCAGCAACAAACTTGCATCAACATCTTGATCATATAAATGGTATAAATGGCTTCCTGTCAGGTCATGTGAGAGCTCCACTACTGGACACTGATAGGGCGCATCTTCAGTCCCGCTGTGTCAGAGGGACGGTGCCTACAAAGGACATGTGAGTCATGGTTTCACATTTTTCCCTTTCCTAGTGTCAAGCAGTTCATTGAGTTTCAAGTCCATTTACTGGCTGCCAATAGGCTGCAGGTCTATCCTGTTAAAGCCAATAAGCTTCTTGTTTCTTGGTCTTTGTTTTCGAGTCAGAAGTCCCCAAGATTGCTTTCCCCTCACAGATTGACTTGAGACCGCTAGGACCGGTTTCCATGCTCAAAATCCCTCTTTCCTGCCCCTCCAGCCCCAGTGACAGCTCCACCCTCCCCAGGGGAAACTCATCAATTATGGCTGGATGTTTGACTGGCAGAGGCTTAATGACAGGAGCTCTGTATTGACCCGACTGCCACACACTGAAAATTTGGTCCCAATCGTCCTTTTTAAAACCTGTCAAATGATTACCGAGAAGCTCTTCTCTGCACAGCCAGTTGAACTTGCCCTGCTCCTCTCTCTCTCTAAGTGGTCAAGACATCAGAAGCAACATGTTCATGCAAATGATTTCATGAAGGATGAAGCTCAACATAATGGAAGGAGATAAGTGAATTTTATCAGGGATCTCAAAGGTGCCCTGGTTGTAGGTTGAAATGGATCACGTCTGATTAGGAAGCAGAGGAAAAATCTTCTTTAGTATCTTTTGTCTCCTGAGATAACGTTGCAAAACACTGCGGAGTTCCTCCCATCATCAATCTGAGGAAGACAACCAAAGTAGCAAACAGTCTGTTCTGCTTCACTTCGTTTCAGAAAGACACTAGGTTTCATTTGATGGGCTGTTGCCCAGGCTTCCCTTGCTCATAATGGTCTAGAAACTGTGGGGGTGCTTTGAAAATAACCGCACCATTATGATTGCACTGTTTGGCTTGCATACAGCATAAGTATTCACCATTCTCATCAGCTGAGCCGCAATAAGAAGTGAACCCAGCTCTACACTGAGGCCACTGAAGCACTGGCGGACTTAGAATCGCCACACTGTTATATCTTAAGTACTTATAAAATCCACTCAGTCACTTCTAGAGGAATTTTCTCTTGGCAAGATTAGCCGGTCTGGGGCCATTTGAATCTAGTGGAGGTTGGCCGGCTTCTGAAAGCCCTCTCTCTAATCTGCAGGAAGGCTCATCCCAGATGGACTGTAAGGCCTAACAGGAATTTATAAAGTCCTGTCGCCTTATCCTGTACAGCCGTGGCCTTTTTCAGTGACAGTACGATTTACCAGGAATGACACATTTCGCACTAACCAAATGTATCGTAAACATCTGGATACTTTCTGAGTGTAGTGATTTTTAAGTAAGAGGAGCAGTGGTGGTAACCAGTTGTTAAAATGTATATTTCCTGTATTTGTTACAAATAGGAAATAGGACAAGAGAACATGGTGTCTCTTGGGCTTGGTGAGACTGTCCTCTCCAGAAAAATACTAGCGTTGCTAATACATTTTTCTAGCACTTCAGCCGCTCATTCACACACACACACACACACACACACACACACACACACACACTCATACACTGATGGCAGCAAGCTACCATGCAAATAACTGCTCCACATGTAGATATGTAGGGATCATTTTAAGCTAACGAAAGCACAATGATTCTTAGTTTCAGGTGATGATACACTAATGAAAACATTCCCATTTCTGCCTTTAGATCCCCCTAAAACCTACACACTGGACCTTTACATGTGTGAACTGTTTTCAGAGATTTCCATCTTCAGTAGGAACCAGTGGGCTTGGGGATGAGTGCCACAGACAGTGTAGGGAAAGTATGAAAGTATTGACATATAGACTAACCCATGAAAGCAATGACTGTTAGAGAAGCAAGGGTGAAAGTAGCATGATTATAAAGTGTGACTTTGGCACACTGGACATTGGAGACCACTAATTGTATCCCATTTCCTTCCAACATTCAACACTAGTTTTAGTTGCCCCAAACTTGAATAAATGTTAACTTTTGTGGTGGCAGATCAGAAGCCATGCATATTGATCATTTTTTTGGTCATGTGTGTTTTGGACTGCACCAACAAAGGATGTCGACCTCTCCATGGGGGCGCCAGGCCACAAAAAGCTTATATATTACCTTGGATGGTAATGATAAATGATTTATGTCTTTTTGGTAAGGTGTGATTTCTCTGAACTTTTGTAATTTATTGTTGCTGGTAGAAATGTATTACTTGACTAATACAGTGTCAAGATTGTCACAATTAAATGGCCACAAGACTTACGAGCGGCACAGCGTCAACAAACCTTTACCACCAAGGTGATATAAGCCAGGTTTGTTGCTCATGGACACATTGGCAAGTTATAATGTTATAGTGTAGCATCTCAGCTCATAGCCATGCGTCTCACGTCAGCCTGTACACTCAGTCCTACTTTAGGCCACTTTCTGACTCTCCAGTCCAGGGACTTGAACCATCAGCCCTTCAATTAACGGCGTACTTCTGACCGACAGGCTGCCACAATCTCATGAGGCCACCGCTGTTGAAGTTTCACCCTTCCATTTTCTCTCTCTTTTTTTCTTTTTTTTTCTTTGTGTGATGATTTATTAAATTGCCTTTAAGTAAGACTGCAGATTAATTAAAACACAGTCAATTTAATTTCCCGGCGTCATATATAAATTCACAGTGGTAATTGAATCCCCTACTCCACTTTTATATTGTAACCCAGCAGTTACAAGAGGAGATCCTCATCAATTACCGGGAACCACAGTCAAAACGAAGAGGAGGTGAATGCACAGTTGTCTGTTACAACTCTGCTCAGAACAGGAGAGTAGAGTTTGAATCTGTTTTCCTTTTTTTTTTTTTCCTGTTTGCTGAAAGAGCCGGGAATTGGATGACTGATCGATAATATCGGATTTGCGGATGGCATGTGGTGCAGCTGAGTCCAGCATGAATGCAAGGTTCTGATGAAGGGCCTGCTGCACAGACAGCTCTGAATAGTGGATCAGACATGTTGCCGGGGTGGAACTCTCATTTCGTATAACACAAGCATGTAAACAACCAATGTGCAGAGACATTAATGGAATAGCGATCAGGGCTGTTGTTGTAGCAAAAAGGGTAATTTGGTTAAAGCTATGGAGGCTGCTGTCATGTATTGAAAATCAGTGTGGGATCAATATAAAGATCGGTGCAGGCGAATGTAGAGAGATTGAAAAGAAGCTGAAAATAGATCTGACCTGTGGTAATTACGACAGCAGGCGAGGTGTTTGTGTGTTTGAATCAGGTCTTGGCCGGGCTTAAAAAACAGCCCTTCATTTCAGGAGGAAGCTCTATTTGTTTGTAAGGGTGTTTGTCAGGTTATTGGGTCTCTACACGTGACTCAACCCCCCCCCCCCCCTTTTCTCTCTCTCTCACTCACTCACTCTCTCTCTACCCCCTCCCTCTCGCCCCACTCCCTCACTGGCGCTCTATAGCCGTTGCAAGCGTATTGATTATTTCAAATACTGATTATCTAAAAGGCCTTCTGCTACTGTAGGCATTGGATTTATTTTGGCTTAATTATTTATGGGCCAGGGCTAGCTGTAAGTATTACTGCTGTGAGATCATGAAGGATTACATTGTTAATATTCAGCAGTGTATTTTTATTTATGTACACTCTAAGCTTTACTGGATGAGCGTTGGCAGGCTCCCTAAAGTGCCGTCTCTCTCCGCTCTCTTCCTCTCACCGTTCCTCTCTTTTGTGTGTTCATAGAGGGAGCTAAACTCTGTAGCATCTGAGCTGGCGGGTCGACAAGAGGAGAGTGAACATTCCCACAAGCACCTGGTAGAGCTGAGCAGGGAGTTCAAGAGAAATGTCCCTGAGGTGAGTCTAGCACCCCACCCCCCTCCCACCTCCCCACCCCCCACACATTTTCTTATAACTCCACGTGTCGTTTTCCTCATCTTCACTTCAGCAGGTACCCGACTGTCTGCATCACCGCCGCTGCTCGAGCCCCCGCACATACTTTTGTGCAGGGAATTATTTATTTCTTTTGTAAAAAAACTGCATTAGTATATACTAACAGATTGCAACACAATACAACACTTGTGAGCAGCCAGGGTTATCCCCCCCCCCCCCCCCAATCCCTTCCTTGTCCTCTTCCAGTTTCTCAATTAATATTTAAATGCTGAGGCCTTGCAGTAACGTTAGCCTCTGGCTGGGTGGGATGAGAGTCCAGGGGGCTAATTTACAAAGGGTAAGCACAACTTTGCTGCTTACTTTCAACTCTTAAGCTAAAGCACCAGTCAGAATTGGCAGCTGATATTGAGTTTCTCCAAATTTCTGTAATGTAACAGGAACAGGTGTCTCTCCGAACCTGTAAGGAACAGCACTCGACTGCCCCCCCCCCACCCCCACCCCCAACGTGACTATAAGAAACACACTTTCTGTGCTACTTTTAGATAGATTTGCATTTTTTTAGATCAAAACAAGGCTCACAAGCTCACGTGTACGTTGAATGAGTGTTCTGTAATTGTTCCCTTTTGTATCCTGGCCGCAAAGAGATCCCTTTCTAAAGTGAGTCCAGTGAGAGAGGAGGGACAAAATCCACAGTCCATAGATCCTACAGTTCAGCCAGAGCTAATATGAGGCTTCAGCAGTTTGAGGTAAATAAATTAAGTGGACATCTTCTAAAATTACAGTCTGTTTTGTACAGAATTCCCTCTTTGTGTCACTATGCCTCTGCTAAGAAAAGAAACACACCGACTTTATTCCTCTAACTCACACAGCTGCAGCATCGTGTTAGCTTCAGCTTAACTTTAAAATAACATTTAGCACAGAACGAGGATTTCATCCCACAATCGCCTCCTGTAATATCTCCAGAAAGAGATCTCTTTACATGTGCCAGTATGAACAGGAGAGAGAATTACAGCTACCTGTAACTCTTTCAATGTACATATGGGCATGTGTATGTAATATTAGAACAGACTTGAAGAAACGTGAACCTAGGGCTGAACGAGGAAATATGCACAAAAAAACCATATTGCGATTATTTGGCAGATATTGTGATAAAAGTCACTATTTCAGTTGGAATAGTCATTTTTGCAATCAATGATAATAAATAAAATGCGATTTTTGTTGGGCGCCAAACAATCATATTCCTTTATGTGTGGAGAATATGATCTGTAGCACAGCGCTTCATTTATGGTCCATTGTGACACATTTTAGCCTAAAAAAAAATCCCAAAATTGCAGCAATTTGGACATTGCAGTTGGCCATATTGCGATTTCGATAATATTTCGATTAATTGTTCAGCCCTATGTGAACGTATCCTGTAATCTTCCCATCTTACCTACTTCACACACCCCTCCACTTGGTCAGCAGTGATAGTGTAAAAGCGTACAATAGTCTTATCCAACATAAATGGCAGATTAAGCTAATACATGAAAAACAACTAAGTAGACATGCACATGCTGCTGCTCGTAGCGTTATCCACATGTACTCCACCTCCCCGGGCGGCACTGAAGTTTATACTGAACTTAAGTTAGAACTGTTCCCGTTAACATGTCTCTCTACCAGACAAATGCAATTGATAAATTAATATGCTAACTGTGTAGCCGTGATAATCTTATGTGTCAGTTTTTTTTTATATACACCATCATTTGAAATAACACGTTGAGAATTTAACTTTATGTTTGCAGTCCGCGCATCACTGTGTTGTTTTTCACTCTTTTCTGCTTTATGTTTAGAACGTGTCAAGACCTCATTCTACCTTACTTTTGTAAGGCAAAATGGCAATTAAGGTATTGAACTGAATACACCAGAAGCTAAATCTATGAATGATATAGATATGAATTAGTCTTTTTTTTATCATCCTCTTTGAAATGATCATCCATTGACATCTAGGCAAAAGTCAAAGAGAATATTTTTATATTTAATAAATGAGCCCTCCGGCTATTTGCTGTGGCTATGCTGCCTGCCTATCTCAGCCTGAGTATGCAGTGTAGTGCTGTAATCTTGACAGTATAATACAGGCGTTTAAGACAGGATCAGGCTGTCACCACTGGCAGCACAATCCCCTTACCTGAGGCTGTGGGAGCTCGCACAAGTCTGAATCTCTGAGCTCTAACGCAAGCTAGTGGAAAGCCCCACTTTTCAAACATGCCCACTCAAACCCTTTAGGTTTAACCACTAATACCCACACCCTATAACAACATACCTCACTCGCACACACATGCAGTGTAAGAGGAGCTATGGAGAGAATCCATTAACATTAAAGATTTTCAGTCGTCTTTCTTATGGAGCCGTTTGTGCCTCACTGGGGCCAGTCTGATTCGTGAACAGGTGGGGCATCTGCAAAATGAAAAATGCTGAGACAGAGTTTGCTTTTTTTGTCTGTGCATAGGAAGTCCGGGAGATGGTGGCACCTGTTCTCAAGAGTTTCCAAGCTCAGGTGAGTCCCACGCTTTTGCCTTTTACAGGTATACGAAACATTTACAGTGTCTACAGAATAAAACACAGAACCTCTGGACATCGCTAAGTAGCTGTAGCTTTTGTAATAATGATTTCCGCGTTATAATTTACTGAAACAAGAGACACTCCTGCTAGATATTCTACGTACATTGACCAGTGCAGATCGCTCCTGGAGCGAACGATCTGATAGATAGAGGGAGGAATCCATGGCATACTTTTCATGTTACTGCTCATCTGCTGCTTATTGACTGATGCCTTTTCTGTCAAAGTGAAGTAGCATCTATCTGCCATTAGATGATCAGATATCTGGCTTCTCATATTTTCTTGGCTGAGACAAGCCCTCATTTCCTGTTGTGATGGTGCATTCACCGTGCCCCCTCTGACGTCGCCATATTGAAAAAGTCATCTGATACCTACCAAGACTCTGCTCCAGCCATTAAACCAAGGTCATAAATCACATTTGTGAGCTGCGTTATGGTCCGCAAAGCAGAGGCTTATGGAAATGATACCACAAATATGTTTCCAGTCTCGCTCTCCCCTCTAAACTCCTGCTCAGCGCGAACCTGAAAGCCCTATCATTGGTAAACATGAGAACACTCAGCATGGATTGTTCAGTTCGCTTGGAAGTGATTATTGGCAGCTTCTTTTTAATGCTTTATAATTGACTATGCCCAAGCAACTGTGCTCCCTGGCAAGAGCCATCACATTCAATACTACACTACGCAATACTCCGTGGTTGATTTGTGTGCTAATTCAATTACTCTAACTGTAAAGTCGCACAAATATCAGAAGCACCCTTCCATATCTTTATTGTGCAAACAGAAACCCACAGGATTAATTTGAGCACCATTGATGTCTGACAACTGGGGGTCTGGAGATGTTTCATAGTAGATAAAATAGATGGCTGATAATGAGCGATGATTTTTTTTTTTTCTTGTTAGCTGCAGGCCTCTCTGGGTACCTCTTGGTCTCTCTTGTGTAACTTCCACGGGCTCATGTTCTGCACATTGATAAGTACGCCAGCTAGCAGTGGAAAAAGAAGCCCCGGCTATTTTTTGATCACGAGGTGCAGCGAACAACTCGGCACACCATAATAATATAATCCTCTGGTGCTTTCTGATACACTTTGACCTTATTGGTAATGTCAAACAGCTTGCGGAGGCTTGTGAACTTTACCCAGCGGTAGTCTGCACGACCTCAGTGTAAGCTGTGGGACCTGGACCTGCTGCTGCAGGGGGAGAATGTGTGGAGAAGGTGGAGTTGGATGTGCTTGTTTGGCTGTGTGGTTTGGGATAGACTAAAGCTCCCCTGCAGCTGCACTGTACAGGTGGTGAATGGTAGAAAAGTCCTGGTGTGTGTGCGTGTGTGTGTGTGTGTGTGTGTGTGTGTGTATGTATGTGTGTGTGTGAGGATGCATATATGTGAGAAAGAACTGGGTCCTTCCCTCCACCAACCCCCCTGCCCCCCCCTCTCTCCCAGTTCGGAGGCCCACAGGAGTGCCTCATGGTATTTGGACCCTCATCATGCCACTTCTAAAGGAGAAGTCGGCTCCTTTGAAGTGTTTGCGACATGACAGGTTCTCTTTCTTTTCTTTTTCATTTCAATGTTCCCCACCCACTTTCTCTCTCTTCTCCCGTCCAATCTCGCCTTCTAATTATCGCTAACCAGGCGACTGATTAGAAACACGTTGCCGACCTAGTTTTTCTGTGGAGCTGGAGGAGGAGAAAGGGTTAATCCCAGAGCTGGTGGCTGTCATTGGTCGCTTCCCTCCTTCTTCTCCTCTTTTTCGTGCTGCTCTCCTCTTTCTTTCCCTGGAAGTTTGCTAATGAGGTCCCGTCAGAGCTGAGGAGAGGTGTTAATTTGGCCTTGTGAAGTAGGAAGGAGATTAAGGACAGTGAGGAGCTGAGTTTACGGCTTAAAATACACCGCTGTCCTTATTAATCCACAGGGCCCTGGGAGACCGGCGTTTTTGGTTTTATAATGAACACTGTCTTATAATGAAGGTAATTTTAATAAAAATTTACGGTGTAGAAGAGGAGATGGTACATGTCTCCCTGGTCTCAGGCACACCTTTGGGGCTGAGGGATATGACAGTTATTTCTCAAATAACCGATCGCTGGAGAGACGGGCCCATTGGACCACGCTGTTCACACAACTTTCACACAAGCTCTCCGCTGCCATCTGAACATACAGAAAGCATTCTTCACCAAGTCTCACCAAGACTACGTAGGCTTCTCAATGCAATTTACACCTCCCTCTCACTTTAGAGTGTAAACTCCCATCAGGATGAACCTTTGTGAGGCGGAAAAAAAAAAGAAAAAAAGAACAGTTACGGATTTCTTATATGTTTGTAGCCTCTTTGTTTTTTTTTTTTTCTCCAGGAGAGGCAATCTGAATATCAGGCCCAAATTAACCAGTCATTCTATTTTTTCCCTCTCCTCTTGATGTCGTTTCATGCTCTCAGAGAAAGAAAACAGCAGTATGGGTCCCTAATTACTGAAACTTGCTTTACAATGATAATCCGTGGAGTAATTTAGCGTGCACAATGCGCAGATGGAGATTCTGATAAATAGTTTGTAACGTGTAATTAGCAGCTCTGCCGGTTACATACCATTAACCCCTCAAGCTCAGGAATCATTATTGGCCCTCATTATCAAGCAGCAAGGTACGATCGAGCTGACTAGACATCAAAAACATCAAACAGCTATTAAAGCACCACGAACTGGGGGCTGGTGGACACCTGTTTATGAGTCTAACTGTGCCATTTCTTCCCCCGAGGTTGGAAGTGATGATGTGGGGGAAGACAGTGTTTTTATGTATGTTGTTGTTGTTGTTGTTGCTTGTTTTCTATGAGAGCACGGGAGGTATTTTGACTATGCAGCAGCTTTTCAACTCCGTGAAACTGAGTAAAGACATCTCAAAATGGCTGCTATACTGTATATCTCACCTATGCTAAACTGAGGTTTGATGCTCAGGAAAGGTAGAAAAGCAAATTCATTGAGGTTGCACTGTTATGATTTGTACATCTCTGTTGTACAGAACCGATCATGTAACCGCCGTGTTTATTCATAATCTGCCTTGTCAGACGGTAAGTCTAGGAATGGCAGAAGAAACAAGGGATAATCTGCGACAGAAGCCGTAACAGTTGTTCGGAGTGTCAGATCCATTCACTCGTCATTTATCAGAAACATCTGCAGCCGTGTTTTCAACCTGAATCCCATCCTGCAGATGCTTTGACCAGAGAGAGAAGAGCGTTTCAGTGCTGTCAGAGACCTTGCCCACAGCGCCTTGCCCTGAGCTCGCACGCCATGCAGCGAGGTAGACAAACACCGTCTTTGATCATCCATCGAGAGACGACCAGTTCTTCCTCCTTTTGATTAATTCCTGAAGGAAATGATAATTTCTCTTGAATGTATGAATATGTTATGAATAGTGGAATGAATCAAAGAGTAAAGGATGATAATTAATTACAGCGCTATGATAAAAGGCTGTGGGTGTTATGACGCAAGCTTCCTCCGTGTCATTATGAGAGGCTCCGTAATTACCTTTCTGCACGAGCCAGCGCTCCTGGCGGTGCTGGCGGTGAGAGTGCCGCTCACTGAGTGAGTCTAACGGTCATAAAGCTTTTCCCTGCCTAATTGTCTGAGGGGCTCTATGGCACTTTCATAGATGAGGGACTGCGCCGTTAGGAAAAATGCTTGGCGACGCTACAGCTTTTCCAGCTCAATGAAGACAGATCTTCATCATGGGCTAAACCTTGCGGTTATTAGGTACAGATTGCTGGAGTGGATGGCTAACTTGGGAAGGTGAGGTCGGAACAATCGAGCAACAGTTTCATACAGTCTGATACAAAGCAGATCATAGACTAAATACAGTTTTAAAAGCAAGCTAGTATTGATTCCTATGTATATTGTATATTATAGGCCCATATTTCTGTGCCAATAAACCAGATCCCTGCCTCACAGTTGCTCTGAATATTCCCTTTTTCTTATTATTCATGTCCTACCTTATGTAAGGGGCATTTATGACACCCTCCTACTCCACTCACTCACTCCCACTCCTCCATCCTCCCCTGCCCCCCCTGGCTACGACTAGACTGCTCCATACTGGGCTGACGAGGTATCTCTAATGCCCGTCTCCTGCTCGGCTGTCTCGGGCTCATTGAGCAGCAGGCCGGGCCCAGGATCTCCAGGCCATTACCTATTCACAGCACGTCCAGGCCTCCAGCCTATTGTGGGGAACATAATGGGCTCCAGGGCCATGTAAACCACCGGCTCTCTGCTCCTGGTTTATCACTTGTGTCCTCTTCATACTAAGGAGAGGGAGCGAAGGTGGGAGGCAGGAAGGTAGGAAGAGCACAGAGAGACGGAGCAGAGGGGGAGGGACGTGGGGGGGGGGGGGGGGGGGGGTGTAATTGGACATTAGATAATACCTTCCTTGAGTCTTTTACGTCCTCTGCATCCCCAGAGGATGAATGTCCTCGTCTGTTCTGCACATCAGTGCAGAAAAGGTGCTTTGACCCAATCTTAATGCACTTCTGTTCACTTACTGTTTCAGTCTTTATTACTTTAAAGTTTACTTTTATTGATTATGACTAGTCAAAGACAAACAAGCTTATATGTGGATATTGGATCAAATATTGTATGGCTGTCCATCTTACCTGTTATACTTATTCTCATCCAATGCCAAAGCTTATACATTGATAAATGAAGAAATGGCCCAGTCAAGGTTTTTTTTTATTTTACTTAGTCTTAGTTTGAAGGCAGTTCTGCTTTTGCAATTTAACTTGATTTGATTCATTTTACATCAGAAAACCACTCAGCAAACCATTTACAATTATCTCCCTCTTTATATTGAAATAACTGTTTATTGACCCATGTTTGTTCTAAATACTTTTAAAGTGCCTATGTAACATTTACTGAACACTGGCCACTGTGGCCACAAGTGACAATTACAGCAGTAATGATAAATGCTAAAAGA